TTTATTTGTTTATATGTACACATATATATATATATATGTATGACAAGTTAAATGCTTTCAATGCTTCCAGTTGGAGCTTGGAGGTCCAACTTTGAACTGCCACCTAAATCTTCACCCCGACCAGAGTTGATCGACCAAGCGCACCTGGCTTCGATTTTTAGGGCCTTTTGACAGGCACGCCACGACCCGATAGCTTCCCAGGTGACGATCGTTCCTTCGTCACGGTCGTCGCTCTGCAGATCACCCCAAAACCCTAGACTTGGACTTGTTGGTATGTTTCCCAGACTTGCCTGGACATGCCCGAGTGCAAGGGCCACAAAAAGCCAAAAACCGCGGCTCTTCGTGGCAGGTGCAGAGGAGCTTCCGACAACTTGGCTCAGGCTAGGGGGCCCGGAACGACAGGCTGATGGCTTTAACAATGTACAGTACCATGAACTTACAGTATGGTCCATCAGACTATCCATTATGTTACACTCGTGCTTGTCTTTGGGAGGTCGTCATCTTCTGTCGGTTTAGAGTTTTAAGTTCAGGCTCTGGGCTACAGGAATTGTTCGAGGTATGTACTGCTGACGGGACCCCAACACAAGACGATCCGCGACGCTGCTACGATGTGGCAGGAAATTTCACCACGTACCTCTTGCAGAAGCTCGGCCGTCACTGCCTTTGAGACTGATTTTGGCTTGCGACAGACAGGCTTGCGATGGAGACGATGTTGCGCTTTATGGAACAATGTGTTAGAAGCGAGTTCTTTGCATCGCGGTTTGAGCATGGTGGCAGTACAATGTCCAAGCATAGCTTGGCTCACGATATCTCTGGTGGGGTGTATAACGTTTATACACACTGACACATACAGTTATATATATATGTATATATCCCTCTCTCTCTCTCTCTATGCGTGCATGCATGCATGCATGCACTTGCCTTGATGGATGGATGGATGGATGGATGGATGGATGGATGGAGTGGTATACTGTACATATACTTGTGTATGTATATCCATATGTATATATATATATATATACACCGTTACAGCTGCATAAACATTGTCTGCAAATAGAAATACGGTACGACTACACAACTTGATACAGTATAGTATAGTTGAACAGAACCACGAAGCGCTAAACCCGAACCCGCCGAATCCTTCCTTGCTGCACGAGGTCCCAGCCGACAGCAGCACGCTGCCACCCTGTGCGCCGCCCCGGACGAGATCACGCCGGGCTCAGCCACGTAAAGCACTCTCTGCATAATAAAAACAAAAATAACAATAACAATATTAATAATAGGTATATGCATGTGTATGTATATATATATATATATGTATATATATATATGTATATATATATATATATATTATGTATACTTATATACCTATTGGAGTAGGTTTCCGTCAGGGGATTCTCTATGGGTTTAGCATAGGGGCCTTTATGATTAGACTAAGGTATTGGGGCAAATTATTGTCTGTTTATACGACAAGAACTGTCCGACTCTTGCTGGTATTGGGGCAAATTATTGTCTGTTTATACGACAAGAGCTGTCCGACTCTTGCTTGAGATTGCTGCCAGAGAGGCCTGATGGGTCGGCTTTGTCGGCATTATCATTATCTGAGGTCTAGAGCAAAATGCCACAGACACAAGAGTCCGTGCTAAGTGGTGTTGCTGTGGCCCGAAGAAAAGAGTCATAGAATGCTCGCCGCCCCTGTCTCGAACGAGCGATGCCTTTTAAGCTTTCGCAAGGGCACCGAATTCCGGCGACAGGGTGGAGTTAGATGTGCCATCCTCAGACTGACATGCAGAATCAGGTCCTCTTTTTGAGATTTCGTTGCCGGTCATGCACTCAGGCTGAATTCGGTAGGACAAACTCTTCTTTTCATGCGGTGCCCTTGGTGTTCCGGCCTCTCTTCTGCATGTTGTTCTGCTCGGGCCGTTCATGAGGTTTTTGCTTGTAAAGTGATGGAAGTTTTGTCCTTGAGCGCATATGGGCGCCCCATGGCCTCTGTACCAGCCGGTGATCGCACGGTGTTTCGTTGTGAGCCGTTTGGCAGTCGCTTTGTCCTGTGTCGCGCCGTTGACTCGGCCAAAACAATACCCCCAGAAGCCCAGCTTCCTTTTCAATCGATTGCTGTCCGAAATGTGTGAGTAGTGCATAGTGCACGACCCACTACAGAGGGTCCCTGATCAGGCATCGGCCGCCAAAGCTGTGGCCGCTGAGGTGACGCCGCGGCACGCGACAACAACTTGGGCAGAGAGCTTCGGCCTTCTACATATGGCATGCGGACATACCCAACATACTGTTATTCAAGTGCATGAAATAGGTAGCACATGGCAGAATGTCTACAAGATGTATCGCATTGTATTCCCAATACATCCCAAAGCAAGGGAGCCTGAGTTGCAGGCTGAAACCAAGCCTCGGTCTTCCGAGAGGCTACGCTACACCGCCTCACTCCAAGCAGCCTCGATCAGGGTTTTCCTAACCTGTGGGAGGTCATTCGCAGAAGGGGAGAAGGTGCAGTAGAGGTTTCGATCGGTTCGACTCTGTTGAAGTAATGCAACAACAGGTGGGACCTATCGACTTGGATCGTGAGTCAGTGCTGCTTCTGCTGTTTGTGCAATCCAGCTTTGTCAGCAAGACCAAACAAACGAACCCTGAAGCAAGACACCCCAAACCTTGCCGGGGGCGAGTGTTAGAACCCACCCTACACCCTGATTGAGGTTTAGATTTCAGCGTGTTGCAGTTCAACGTTCTGTGGTGCTCGATAAGAGGGAGACGAGCAGCCCCTGCGCAATTCCCGAAACCCTAAACTCTAAACTGCCATGCCTGCAGTTTGCGAGTGTGTGAGTCGAAACCCTAAACTGCCAAACGCGAGACCTCTTCTGGCTGTGCCGAGTTGTGACAGCGTAAACCCTGATTCGGATCTTCGCCTGGCGCTGCCTTGTTGTGAGACCCTAACATACGCACTAAATCAAACACAATATCACACTAAACTATATATTATATATTGTACTAGAGTATACTGTATAGTGCACGATTCGCCTATTCTGAACTGGTTTATGATATAATTCAATTTGAAAGCAGCCGCAGAAGATGCTCGCAGTGTCCCGCAAACTGAACGCCGAAGTCTGCTCTTCGATTAATCTGAAGCTGAGCATGTACAACAAGATCAAAAAGTGACTTCAATCATTCGTACTAATATCCCCGTATATTCCTGAAGTAAGTGCATACATTACCATACCCCAAACCCCATTCTTTTTTGCAGGCGCCAATATTAGACCTGTAGACCTTCAGGGCATACACGTGGCGGCCAAAGCTCGACTCGACATAGTTCTTGATGCCAATGCTCGAGTTTCAGGAGATTGTTTGGGAAGCCAGTCCGGCAAAGAAAAGAAGAAACAACCCTTACCATCGGCAAGACAGGCATGATGTGCCTGTTTCATTTGGGAGTTTCAACCTAGCCGAGAGCCCCAGAGAAGCACCTGAGCTTTAAAACAGCCTCCTAGACAGAGGCAGGCCCTGAACATAAGCAATGGGACCCCTAAACCCTAAACTCTATATACTGTATGTTTAAAACCCCTATAAACCTTAGACCCTATACATATTTAAGAGCCCCGAGACATTTTTCTGCCCTTGGAACCACAAAAGATCTGAGGTCTTCAGTCGCACGGCCAGGCCGTGGTACTAGCGGGGCCTTGGTAATTTCAATGGTTTTTGGGACGAGAAAAGGCCCGACAGAGCAATTAAACAGGGTCTTGGGGTAACTATATTCGCACAATGAGACACTTCAGGAGTCCGAAGAACGCTACTAGTAAATATTGCGGCCCTTACACTTTGGTCATTGATCTGCTTGTCCTTTCTCGGCTCAAAGCTTACGGTTTACCTGGGCCTTAAAAAAATGTAGAAGAATAGCTTTTTTACGCCAGTAATTTACCCACTTTTGAGGGTTTAGGTGGCTGCTTCTCTGGGGTTCCAGCCAGAGCAGAGTTTCGTTGAAGCATGGGTCTTTATGGTATTTAGTGCCTACTGGGCGTTATATTACATGTACGTATATATATATATATATATATACACACACATTTTTTAAGTGTTTATTTACTCATTTGTGCGTATGGTTGTTCATTCATTTCGTGCATACATGTATATATGTGTGTAGAGATAGATAGATAGATAGATAGATAGATAGCTGTGTGCTCGCTTTGCAGGGCGAGGCTGACGACCCTGGGTGCAAGGTTGCAGCGCGCAAGAACCGAAAGCATGGGGACAAAGAAGGGCTCACGTGCACATGCTCAAGTTGAGAGCAACATCCTTGAGACTGAGTGTCAACACAGTCTATAGACGATGTAGCAAGGTCGCTATCCGTCCGGTCCTGCCTTAGAGCCTAACCAACAGACACATACATGGCCTCGGGAGGTGGTTCGGTGTTGCACTTTCGAGGGACGTAAGGAGGCTGCTTCGAGCTTCATTGTCCTAATGGACAGACAGGTTGTTGACTTGAGAGAGTGCACGAAGCATAACGACTGGAGTGCCGTTTCGACGTTCTTGCTTACGTGTTGAGTTGTGCTACGACTAGTTGTGAATGATGGGTGGCACCTTGTCAATGTTTACGTGGCTTACACTGAGTAGATACTTGGTAGCAAGGATGTACATTTTTTGAGTATATACATGCATGTGATTCAGTCTATATTCACTCAACGAGATAAGGGTCTTCCTTTCAAGGCGTTGTGCAGACTTTTCCAAGATGCAAGTATCATTTCCACATGAGACATCGCCTGCATATACCTGCAACTTAAAACAAGACCAGAGACATAGCCACGGCCGAGGGTGGATGCAGGCTCTTGTATTCTACTTTCGGTTGTGTTTCTGCAGTCCGCTCGGTTCAAGCGCCACACCACCGTGCCACCTGCGCGACAGAAAGAAGCATCGGCTCTTGAAGGCATCGGTTGTCGAGCACATGGAACGCATGTTGGCGGAAGCACCGGCGCCTGTGTGAGGCTCTCTGAAGTGGCTCGATGGCAGAAGAGCAAGATGCCACTGCCAGCGTCGATACTGGTTCCACCCATGAAACATCAGGCGGGGTCAATCCTTAGGGCAGATGTTGCCATCAAGCGATGCAGCAGCGTGCCGGGGCTTTCCTTTCCATTGAGTTGACGCCACGGAATGTTCCATGGAGATCACGAGAAGCACCCCCCAAGCAGGTCAAGTGTGATAGAGGTCGTCCCCAGGCGATCGTTGCACATGTAACTCGAGAGGCCAATCTGCAGCTACTCCGTCGGCATTCATTGTTGAATGCAGACGCTATACTGACCTCGTCGCTTCGGATGCAATTGGTCCTGCGTGCCTGCCACTTCGGAACGGGATGCCTTGCATTGTGGACATGCCTGTAGCCTCCATGCGGCTGTAGCCAAGGAGCTCGCGCGATCGGCCTACGACAACTTGTTGTTATCCTTCCTCAAAAGTCACACAGGCGGGGTCGCATGCATGCGTCTTCAGCTTGGCACAGAAAGATGATATGCGAGTTTTGTAGAGGTATGTCAGGCAGATAGTGATATGATATGAAGTTAGATTCTCGGACATTAACTCAAAGCAACCACAGCATGCTGCATGACGCGACGTTTGGCGCCGCAGAACGACGCGTGACACAGCGTGAGGCCGGATCTACATGAAGCCTTGGTGGCTGCTGGTGCTCAATTTCCTTGCCCAGTATGTCGTTGTGTATCTGTTGTGGCAGAAGATTAACGGATCTGTGCCTTGGCCGGGCTTCCAGCATTGCTTTTCCCTACACCTCGCAGCTTTTCGCAGGGGACCCCTAGAAGCGCATTCTCATGTTCGGAGGATAGATAACGTGCTAGACCCTACAAGCCCTAAACCCACAGATGCCCCCTAAACCCTCAGACGAGCTGCTTCGATAACTTCGAGAATCTTGGAAAAGCTGACAAAAGGAGCGGGATGCGGACGTGGTCCTGCTCGACCGCTTTGGGGGCCAAGGAACTAGCTTGTGCGCCTTGTGCATGGAACTTCAGCCTTTCCGAGAGCAAAGTTGGGGGTTTGCGAAAATAGGGGACCCTAAATATAGTACCCTAAATAGTAGGATTCCTTATGATAAGGGACCCCAAATAAGGCATGCCTTCTTGTCGGAAACTCCCAATTTGAACTGGGGCTTTCAAGCAGGGAGGATCCCTAGCCCTCGGGATCCGGGTGGTCTGTTGCGCAAGAACTGCATCTTGAGACCCCCCTGTTTAGGGTTTAGGGTTCAGGGTTTAGGGTTCCCTGTTTAGGGTTTAGGGTTCAGGGGTTTAGTGCAGAGACCTCAGTCCGTGCTGACAAAGGGCTCTGCACTCGAAATCTTTCAGCAGGGCGATAGCCCCGCCGACCGACACATGCCTCGCATGGACTCTCCGAGTTGTGAGCGCCGAAGCCCAAATAGCCCTAAACCCGGATAGCCTTAAACCAACGCCGACCTGACATGTCCGAGTTGTGAGAGTGTAAACACTAACATCTTTGCCTGAGGCTTCGAGGTGACGGCTGGCGTTGGGCCCTTCAATCCTGGACGATCAGGCTTGAGTTGCTCCTCCGATGAGGCAGCATGCCTAGTTTCTGAAAGCACCTTTCCACTCTACCTATTTTGAGTAAGTTTCGCTTTTTTAACACGGAATGTTGTTTTAGAATTGTCAGTGCCGTGGAACAAGAACACCTTCAACGCTTCAAGGGGAAGATGGGAGGGCCTACCTATAGTCTCCATTGTAGTTCCTTTTTTTGGTTTAACCAATTATATATTAAGGATTCTATAAGGTATCCCCCAAAAGGAACTACAATGGAGACTAAAGGTAGAGTGAGAGTGATAGTAGTGTTGGATGACCCCCCATGGCTCTGCTGGTCGTGTCAAGGTCGTGCTGCTGACTAATTTCAGCATGCTGGACTTGGACGGGGACCTTCGATTCAGAGCTAGTCGTGCCCGTCTCTCCTTCCCTCTCTCTCGCTCTGTGTGTGTTGCTTGCCATTGCTTAAGTTGTACACTATGACTGTCCTGGCCCTTGCGTTTCCTTCGTTTTATGCGATGGCACCTCGAGCCAACTGCAACTAAGGATGGACATTGGACTTATGACGAGGCTGCGGGTTTAGGGGTTAGGGTTAATTCAGCAGAGGCTTGGGTCCCAACGTCGGGGTTCTCGTCCCGAGGCTGAGCGACTGGACGCCCAATATGCAAGCGCGACCAGGCGCCATGTCGATATGTCTTTGGTGCATCTTGCCCTATTTCAGCCATGCTGTAGCGCGCGTCAACTTGGGAATAGGCATTCTGCGAAGGTCCTGCATCGTTTGGCTTGTTGCCCCCCTAACCTCCAAGGTATCAAAGGGTCTTCAAAGCCTTCTCAGCAAATGCTGACGGCCTGGTTCTGCCGTGTGAAATCAACGATACGCTTCAAGCGTTCTGGAAAGAAGACGGCTTCTGGTATGATGCACGGCTTGAAGCACTCGATAGTAGCGAATATGCCCTGGTGTGGTACTTCGATGACAACGGTACATCTTACGTCAAGAAGAGTGAGCTGCGTAAGACGGAGGGCGACTCGTTTTTCAAGTGCAGTTTGCCGAAGTGCATTGACACGGATGCGGGGGCCCTCGACTCTGACGGGTCCACTTGCATAGATTATGAGACCTTCTTCGGTGAATGTGGCGAGGGCCGCTACGACGATGCAGACTTCCATGTAGACAAGCTTTGCTGTCTGTGTGGGGGCGGCACGACGAGTCTGACGCTGGCTGGAATTGGCCATTTGCCTGTCAACGTGTCCATGGACCAGATGACACAGCCTCCGCAGCCAGGGCAGCCAGAGTCGGGGTATAGGAGACCTTCTTGGGTGCTGGCAGGGTCTCTCACAGGTGAAGCTTCCCATGTGAGATGAAATCGACAGTCATCTCTCACAGAACAAGCCGCACGTGAGGTTGCACTTGTTGGTGTTTGTTACCACTCCTTGTGTCAGGAGCTGTGTCCAAGAAGCGCAAAGCAGCCAAAGTCAGGTGCGACTTCTGTTTATTAAATGACACTTGTTGTTTCCCGCCATCTGCACATCCGGTGCAGCGTGGATAGTCGTGCAAAACGCCATGTACGACCTTTCGTGGATGATTACTTTATAAGTTTTTGTCTCTACCAATTTGTTTGGCTGCCGTGGTGCACATCGGTCCTGCCACAGTGCCAAGCGCAGTGTTGGGTTTCTTTTTGGACCTTCAAAAATCGTTGCCGCTTCTACGCAGCGAGAAAGAGAGAGAGTGAGAGTGAGAGTGAGAGTGAGAGAGAGAGAGAGAGAGAGAGCACGGACGCTTTTCGTTTACTTTCGGGCGTCTTGAGCCAGCGCTAGTGCGTGAAGTTTGCAGTCTGTACGTACAAACTCAGGTGTTCTAGAGGGATCTTGTGGGCCTGGGGCCTTGAGGTTGTTCCCCGAAACCAGCAAGGAAACAAACAGGGTACCCGAAATCGTGCGGCCAATTTTGGACTCATGGGGGAGCCTCGGGGGTGCTCCTGGAATGGTTCTTGGGTGTGTAGGGCTTGGGCGGCCCTGTGCTCATTCACGATTCGAGGTCTGCGCCGGCGTCTAATTCTTTAAACTGTATACTCCCATATATAGTTACATGTTTGAATTTATTAGTGCTGTGTGATGCCATCACATCGCACGCATCCTCTTGGACTGCAATGCTTCAGCCACATGTGAATCGACGGAACTCAGGCCATGTACAGACCACGCGGTCATGCAGGTATGGATTTAGGACAGTATGTACACATGGAGATTTACATTTACGTTTACATGTACACGCACACATGTATGTATATATATATATATGTATGTAACGTATGTATGTATATGTGTGTACATATGTTTGTATGCGTGTCTGTGTGTCTGCATGTATGTCTGTCTTTCTGTCTGCCTGCATGCATGCATGCATGCATGCATGCACGCATGCACGCATGCATACGTGCATGTATGTATGTGTGTGTGTGTGTACGTGTATATGTATAGTTTTTGTATATGTATGCGCATACAAAGATACATCACTACATGCTCGCACACAGCACAAACACATACACATATGTGACCATTCACATATACATGCATGTATACATATACATATACATATACATACTTACGTAGGTACATGCGTGTGCACATACGCACATATGTACCTACAGTAAGTATGTACATACATTCGCACGGACACACCACCGGACAGATGCAGACAGACATGCAGGCAGGCAGGCAGCTCCATACACACAGGCAGACATGTGCATACAGACGTGTGCGTTCTGACACATGTTTGCAGTCAACCAGCTGGTCAGGCAGCCTGCATTCGGGAATTCACTTTCTTCCCCAAGGCAAGGTGATGGCAGGGACTTTGCTGACACTCTTGTAGCACGGGTATGCTAATGGCACTCATTCTGTACTGCCCTTGGAGAATGTGTCGTGTTTGAGGCAGGGCAAATGCAGGGTTTGTGAAACGCCCGCCGGTGGCCTGATCTTGCATGCCAGCCTTGCGAGGCCTTATATGAGAGAGAGCTCGCACCATTCGTTGCCTTTTGCCTCTTGCCGGTGACTTGGCTGCGCATGTGCTGGGCAAGGCAATCACTCGGTGCCAAGTTTCGGTAGTGCCAGGACCCAGATCTTTGTGGCGGTGTGGAAGGCGATAAGAGTCTCGGTCGTATGTAGACTTGGGTGCGGCGCATGGGTTGATTTGCAGCCGAATTTGAGAGATGTTTGTGTGTGTGTGTGTGCTGAGGTTCCCGATCTATTGGAACAACTCGAGACCTTTCTCCAAGCCTGTGCTGTTCCAAGAATTGGGCATCGATTGGCTGGGCGACATCAACACTGTGGAGACCACACACGTGGAATTGTTTGCAATGTTTGTTGTGCCTTGCTAGTTGCTGCTAGTTGAGATGCGGTAGGAGAAAATGCCAATACATGAAGCGGAGCAGGAGAAGAGTAGCGGTGGTAGTGGTAGTAGTTGCAATGGGATTAACTGTCAGCAGTAGCAGCAGTAGTAGCGGCAGAGCAGCCGTAGCAGCAGCAGCAGTAGTAGCAGCAGCAGCAGGACGTCGTAGTAGTAGTAGTAGTAGTAGTAGTAGTAGGAGGAGTAGTAGGAGGAGGAGGAGGAGCAATAGCAGTAGTAGTAGTAGTAGTTGTTGTTGTTGTTGTTGTTGTTGTCGTTGCGGTTTCGGTTGCGGTTGCGATTGCGGTTGCGGTTGCGGTTCCGGTTGCGGTTGCGGTTGCGGTTGCGGTTGCGGTTGCGGTTGTTGTTGTTTGTTTGTTTGTTTGTTTGTTTGTTTGTTTGTTTGTTTGTTTGTTTGTTTGCTTGTTCCCCACATCATTGTGTGGGGTTCTTACTTTTGGGGCCGCCCCGCGTCACCTCACCTCACGTCCTTCCTCCTCCTCCTCCTCCCGCTCCTCCTCCTCTACACACACACACACATACAGACACATACGCACACAGACACACACACACACACACACTCCTCACACACACACACACACACACACACACTCCGGAAGACTCTAAATGCCTCGTCGGGCTGCTCCGGCGGAGGCCGCGCGCGGGCTCGGGACGCGGCTTCCGGA